CATAACACAAATAAATACGGACGACCAAACAATGATGGCTTTTTGCCGCTGCTGAAGAGAGGCGGGAGGAGGAGGAGGAGGAGGGAAGGATGTGGTTTTTTTTTTTTGGCTGGTCGATGGGATGGGCCTCTTCTCGGCGGCAGGCTGTGTTGTCGGTTTCTCGTGTTTTCAGCTGGCGTGCATGCGGGAATGCAACATCACCGCCTGGTGCATTCAATCTGCATCGGTCTCTCTCTCACTCTCTTTCTCTCTCTTTGTCTCTCTCTGTGTGTGTGTGTGTGTCTCTTATTATAACAGAAAGGCGCAGTTGCATGCATGTTGGGTTGTGATGGCAGTTTTAATGTATTGATTTATTTTTATGTCTAAATGTTTTATATATTTTTCTTTTTTCCACTTCTTTTTCTTTTTCTTTTGTGTGTGTTTATTCACGGACGTTCTGTACGTGTAGTCTCGAGGCAGCAGGCGAGGAAGCGTAAAAAAAAAAAGGGGGGAAAAAAAGGACAAAAAAAAAAAGAAACAATCGAAAGAAAAAGGAAGAAAAAACATAAAAAGTAGGGTGTGTGTGTGTGTGTTAGGGGAGTAGGAAAAAAAGGAGATCATCCGGCGGATCATAAAAATTGGAATTGACACGTTTAATAAAACAAGCAAACAAGAAGGCGCATCAAACAAACACACACAAACAAAAGGGGGAGAGAGAGGGGGGACGAAAAAGAAAAAAGAAAAGGATGGGAGGCTCAAAGAACACTCCAGAAGATGTCACTGAGGTGAAGAAGTGTCTTCATCACGTCCTGGAGTCAAGGAAGCAGCTTAAAGAACTTGAGAACAAATTGAAGGAGACGATTACGGTTACAACTAAAATGTTGAGTTCTTTGGACGCCGTGGGAAATGGATTCGTTAACACAACGAGGGCAATGACGCAGCAGCTGGAGGGCCAGCCGTGCAGTGCCACCAGTCATCGCTCATCCGTGCCTGTGGGCACTTTGCATGGCGCAACAAAACTGATGTCGACCATGCTGCGTGAACTGCGGGAGGGTGCCACGATTGCCAACTACAAGGACAAATTGCAAAAGAGCATTTTTGACAAGCTGGACACATTGCGTTGGTCAACGAAGAAGGTCTTGGATGCTGGGAATGAGTCGCATGCACTTCTGGTCAAGTACCATAAGAAGGAAGGGGCTGTCAATGCAAAGGAGCAGAAGTACAAAAAGAAAGGCAGAGACCTCAGCACGAGTAAACGGTACACGAAGCAGGTAACAGAACGCGACAAGGCAAAGAGAATGGCGGAATTGAAGACATCATACTTTAAGGATATGTACGACATTCACGTGGCAAGTATGGATCAAAACGAAGGAGAGTTTTTTGACTGTTTTATTGACGCTAACTGCCATTTGGTGCGGAAACTGCACGACACCCTTAGCAGCGTGGGTTCGTGTGCTCTGCGTGAGTACCCGCTTCTGGCAAGCGTCCTGGTGAGATCCGCCAGTCACGAGATGCCGCCGCTAGTGAGCGACGACTCCCCCGTGACGAGGACCTCGCGAATGAAAATGGGGAGCGGTAATGGGCATGTGAGGGCGGAACACGACACGGCACAGAAGCCGGGCGTTGAGGCAAACCCATCCGATGGGTTGCATGCAGAAGGCAGCCCGTATCTCATCAGCCACGCCGACATCGACTCAAGCCCCTCGCGGCCCAGCGGCGTGCTTCAGGAGCCATTAACGCAGCTTCGCCCACCCACGGCGCGGGATGCACCGGATGAGCCGGTTCATTTCGAAGATGCGTTGAAAGCCACACCAGCCGATATACAGGATCACCACATGTAAAGACTATTGAGTGAACGTGCCTGCATTAGGCATGCAAACACCCAACCACTCACATCTACGTATATATACAAATATACCTGTGTGAAGTGCATACACGCAAGATCTCCTTGGAGACACATCGTTCTGATGTTACATGGACTTTTTTTTCTTTTTTTATCTCCTTTTTGTTTTTATGCATTGGGGAATGGCGAGGGGCGGTTTTTTTCCTTTTTTTTTTTTTAGCTGCCTTCATCGGTTGCCACATTTTTTTTTTTTGTAAATTTTCCCGCTCCCCCCCTTTTTTTTTTTATGAGCGTTTCTTTTGCTCTAACGTTTGGCTTCTCCTGCCAAATGGGTGTCCTGTGCAATGATGGGCGGTATCTCACTTTTGTGTGGGACGGTGATGTTGCTTTTTTTTTTTTGTTGTTGTTCTCGTGCGGCCGATAAGCTGCAATTTGCCGCGCAGATACGTGTTGTATTTTGTTTGTTGGGCATCTTTTTTTTCTTTCTATTTGCCACTTTCTCTGTGCATGCGTCACCTCGGTGCGGTGCACACACACAGACAGACAGAGAGACAGACGGCTGCTCCATTGCACCCCCAACACGTGAGGAGGAGGATGGCCGGGGTGCGGCGGGGGAAAAAACAGAAAAGCACCAAAAAACATTGGACGAGACGAGGGAACGACGATAAAAACAGACGACAGGCGGCAGGCGTAACGGCGGCACATGACACCTGAAAAGACACACGGCAGATACCCGCATGGCGTGGTGCGGCCCGCCTCTCACTTGCCGGGCCAATTCCTGGCTTTCCTCTTTGGATTGCGGGAGCCGTGAGGGGAGAAATTAAACGAAGGGAGTTTTTTTATTTTTATTTTGTCTGTCTTTCTTTTTGCAACCGCGGCCCCCCACCGGCTGCGGTCGCCGTTGGGGGATGGTGGGCGCCCCGCTACTCATGTCTTTTCCAAAAGCCCCTGCCATTTGTTTCTCACCGCCACTCCCCCCTCCCCGCAGGCGCACGTCTGCAGAATCGGAGTGGGATGGGGGAGAGAGAAAGAGAGAAGATAAAAATACCACTTTTCTTTCTTTTTCTTTTCTTACATTCCCTGTCTCTCTCTCTCTATTTGTGTTTGTTTTGTCTGCGCCACGTTTTTTTTTTCTTTTCTTCTTCTTCTGCAGTTGTTTTGCCTGCGCCCGTGCAGCGCGTGAGGCGTGAAGGAGGGGAATATTACGACGAGAGGACGGAATTTTGCCGAGGACGTGGGGGGGCCGGGCCCAAAACAACACAACACAAAAAAGCAACAAAAAAGGGGAAGAAGAACTGTAGGCGTAGGGGGTAGTCGTGGCGTGTTGCGTATTCTTTTTTTTCCCGCTGCGGGTGGAGCCATTCAACGGGGCCGGGGGCTCGTAGGAGAAGTGCAGGAGGCGGAGGTGTAAACAAAACAAAGAGGGTTTTTTTTTAGGGGGGCTTACAGTTCCTGTGTTTTTTGTTTTGCCTCTCTTTTTTTTTTTTTTCCTGTTTGTTTGTTAGTGGTTTTATTTTTGATATCCCTCTCATGCTGCGACTATCGCGGGGACTCTGCGGCCTTTACGTGCCTGTCGTCGGCTGCATCTTCCTTGTGGACACGTTGTATGGGTGCAAGTACAGTCCCCATATTGGTGTGTGCAATCTACCGTATGTATACGTGAAGGCGCTTCTTTTCTGCGCCTCAGGGCAGGATAAATGGGAGCCGAAACGGAAATATGTGCATGGTCTCATAGAATACCTTGTACCATTCAACAGAGAGCAGGATTCACTGACAAAGTTGGAGCTCATGCAGTTTGTAGACACGGTGCCACCACGAGCAATTAAGATTCATACCGCTTCCACCGTATTGGGCTCGGCACAGCTGTCGTTGACTCATTCCACGTCTGCCTTGCAGCAATCTGCGTCCACGAGCGGTGCAATTCTGCGGTCTAGCGGTGGTGGGCCGTCTTCAGTTACAGAAAACGTGACGTCATTTCTTTCAGGGGCACTTCTTCCGGCTGCACTGGCTCGCGTATTGTTATATGACGCAGTGTGTACCTGTGCCGATGACGACGAGTACAATGAGACCGAGCGACATCGTGTGTCACAAGTGGCGGCAAAGCTTGGCATTCCGCAGCGTGTTAGGGATGCCATTGAAAAGGTGGTTGTACAGGAACGACTATTGGCCATGCGGAAGCGGCGATTATTACTATTAACGGATACCCCGCCGACACGTTGAGCCAATAAACAAAATTGCTGTTTATAATGTTTGTGTGTCATGTGTACACGTATGGTAGATATGCACACACACACTCTCTCTCTCACAGGGAAGCAATGTACGTATATATATATATACATGCACGCATGTGTGTTTGTATGTATGCACTTTGATATTTTTGTTGTTTATTCTAGCCGTTTTATTCTACAGGTACTTCTGCTTCCAATGACGCTTGCCTTTTGCCATTGCTGCAATATTTTTTCCCTCTTCTCTCCGCTTTTCTTTTTCTTTTTTTTTCCTTTTTTTTATGTTGGCTACCGCTGCTGATTTCTGTGAGAGGGAGATGCCACCCAAATGAAACAAGAAACATGTGCATGAACATCATCCCTGACTTGTCGGTTTTTTTTTTTCTTTGATTTTTCTTTTTTTCTTTTTCTTTTATTTTGACTCTCTCCTCATGTTTTGCACATTTGTGTTTGGGGTGTTTGTGTGAAAAGGGAGAAGACTTCCTTTCAAAACTGTCCTTTTAATTTATTTAGACAAAAAACAAAAAAGGGGGTCGGGTGCTCACATCCACGCATCTGCCGCGGCAACGTCCACACCGGCAGCTCCGAACAAAATCCCCAAACACACACACGCACAGTGGCATCTTCCGCCAAGGAAAACAATCATATATATTCTGCAACGAAAAACCGGGGCGCAACGAGAGGGTGAGAAAAACAACAACAACAACAACAAAAAAGGAAAAAATAACAAGAAATGGCTTCTGTTGGAGCCGCTGTGGTGGTGCCAATTCTTGTAATTTGCGCTCTGCTTCTGCTGCTGATTCTGGCAGTGATATTCTACTACTTCTACCACACCCGCTTCCGCAATGTGAATACGAAGTACTACATGTATCCAGGCTTTGCACGCCGCCGCAAATTTGAGTTATCATGTATTCCCGCACCTGGTTTATACCAGCCTCCGCTGGAGGTGAGGTTGCAGTGCTCCCAGCAGGAGCCGTGTGACATCCTCTTGGACGTAAATTACGTGCCGGCGAGTAAGATATCAACAATGGATGATACGACTGCGGATGCTGTAAGACTTCTTGGCACGGATGATTGCTACAGTGATCACTTTATGCTTTACACCGAACCGCTGGAATTCATAGAAGCCGGTAGGTACATGCTATATGCTTACACTGTCTACCCCACACTACGTGTTGTGGGGTCTGTACATCAATTCTGCTTTGATATTGTGAGTGTGAACCGGGATACTAGGTCTGGGGAGATGCAGCAACCACCCCACGTTAGTATCAATGTAAATCGTGACAGCCGAAGACATGTATCGATGTCTGCTGTGGGGAACCGCGCACGACCAATCCCACCTCGCATCATCCCAGAGAAGGGGGAGGTGACAACCTTCACCCCCATCAACATTGCCCTTAGTGAAAGCAGCACAACGCCAGATCAGATACGGTACAGTGTGGACGGCTCTCCCCCGTCGTTGCTTTATACAGGACCCTTCACCCTTTCTCTTCCACCCTTCAACACGGATGGCGGGAGCTCACGAATACCGGTGGTGATACGGGCGCTCACCGTCTCGACTCAAGACGGGCTGCTAACGAGTGAGACCACAGAAGCTCACCTCACTGTGTACAAAGCGGGTCATTCCTTTTTTGATCCGAATATACCGCCGCCCGTAGCCCGCGTCCGCGCCTTGGAGGCGGAGTTGTACTTTGATGAATCCAGACGACCGCCAAACACCAGCATCATCTATCAAATCGTGTATGTGGGGGAGGCCAGGCAGAAGCCTAAGTTTTCCCACAGGAAGGGCATTCTCTACGAAGGAAAGCCGGTACCATTGAAGGAGGATGTGGCGTTTGTGTACGCGTGGACATTTAGGGAAGACACGCATGGCGGCCAGTGCATAGAGCCCCATATGGATGAGAGAGGTCATGGGAAGGCACGTAGCTCGGCTGCCGTGTATGACTGCAATCTTGCCATGACGTGGAACCGAGAACCACGTGGGGAGGATGTCGGAGGAAGGGGAAACGCACTTCCCCCACCATGTATATGCATCCGATGCAAAGAAATGGATGTGTTCTTTGAAGATCCTCCTGTGGGTGGTATTATTTGCTACACACTGGATGGTACAGAGCCTGCGCAGCCAGATTCCACCATTACTGCAAAACATCTGGCAGGGATTGGCCGGAACGACACGGTACTTCTGCCCAGAGATCACGAAAAAATTTTAGAGTTGGGCACGCATGTTTACAGGGAGAATCAGCCTATTCATGTGACGCTGATGAGGACGGAGCAGGTGGTTTTGACGGCTCGCACATTTATTCCGGTCGTAGACCTCGCGGCCAATTCTGCCGTGACAGGGTACCGCTTTGGAGAGTGCTTTAATCGTAGTTTTTCCACACTGTAGAGATGTTTTTTTTTTTTTTAAAAAGAAAAAAGAAATGCATAGATGATTGAAGACGCAAAAAAGTTGAGAAACAACAACAATAATAAAAAAACAACAACAACAACAACGAAAGTGAAAAAAAGAAAAGGAAAAAAAAAGAGGAAAACTGAGTTTGTTTTTTTTTTCCTTTTTCTTCTTATTGTTATTCCTTTTTGTTTTTATTTTAAATGGATGGGGTTGCTGCTGCTGTTTTGGGAGTTTTATTTCAACGTGCACCACCACCACTACCACTGGCAAAAGCAATGGCAGCAGCAGCAGCGGAATGTATATATTTCCATACAAAGTCTGTGTGCATGCGTCTGTGTGCATGTGTCTGTGTGGGATTACGATAGAAATTTGTGTGGGATCGGTGAGTATATTTATATGTGCTTTGCGTGAGCATAATGATTCGCAATAGAAGTAAACGTACACGGTGATATGTCTCTGTGCGTGAGTAGGCGCTGCTGGGGGGAACACACACACACACACACACACAGAAAAACGAAGAAAACAAAAAACAAAACAAAAAATATCATTAAAATTTCATTTGTCATGTTTTTTTTTTTTTTCTTTTTAACTTCTCATTTTTGTGTGGAATTTGGAGGAGGGGTGCACGCCTCAGAACACAAGGAAAGAAAAGAGAAGAAAAAAAAAAACAAAAGAAAAAGCAGAAAAAAAAAAGGTAAAAAAAAGGAGGAGCCACGTTTAGAGTTGGGAAACATCTTTTTATTTTTTATTTTTTATTTTTATTTTCCTTTTAAATATATAATTAAAGGGCGAAAGGAAAAGGAAAGAAATAAAGAAAGAAAGAAGAAGGAACAGGGAAAAGGGCAATAACCTCAAGTACATAACAGGAAGAGAGAGGCGTACACATCCATACGGCAGATGCTCAAGAAGGTCTCTTCAAGGTCTCCCTTTCCCATTTCGGTGGCGGCGTCCCCCTGGTCGTCGCAGGACATTGGGCGTGTTGCTGGGAAGCGCAAGAAGGACGCCCAGGCGGGGTCGGTGAATGCCGACCGTACGCTTTCGGTGGAGTTTGCGTCGCCTGATTGGACGGTGGAGGGGCTGCCGTTTGGCTTTAAGAACGCGGCAGGAAATCTTGCGCTTGACTCAGAGAGACGGTGTCTCTTTGCAGGGCTTGGGACGAAGCCTACGGTGCGTGAATACCGACTGGCGGTGACGAACGCGGTACGAGAGGCCCAAAAGCTTCAAGCTTCGGCACTTGTGCTTAAGTCATTGCCAGCTAATGTGCACTCGATGGGGGATTTGTTTCAGGAGCCAAGCGTGCTGCCCTCAATTGATGTTGTGGAGAAGACAGCCTCCTTTGCCGTGACTGCCGCCTACAAGTACACTCGCCTGCGTCTCAACAAGGACGGCGGTGATGAAACCAAAAACCCCATGGGAATTTTTATTGACTCGGTAGCAACAGATGCCATAGCTCGGGGCAACATCATTGGTGGCTGCGTCAATGAGGCAAGAAGCCTGGGAAACCTGCGAGAGGATGAAGGTAGCCCTCAACTGTACTATGAATGGATTACAAAGGAACTTGCTCCACTTGGTGTGAAGGTGCGTCATGTACTACGGGGAGAGAAGCTGCGAGGGGCTGGATTAAATCTCTTATACAATGTGGGGAAAGGATCACGTCACAAGCCTTATTTGGTGGTTTTTGAATACACAGGAAATCGACATAGTGACGAAGCAACAGCTCTTGTTGGAAAGGGGGTGACGTTTGATTGTGGCGGTCTGAGTTTGAAGCCAGCTGGCTCGATGGAGGGGATGCATTTGGACATGATGGGTGCTGCGACAGTGATGTCAACAATTAAAGCCATTGCTTTGCTTCAATTACCGGTGAACGTTGTTGGTGCTGTCGGCCTCGCGGAGAATACCATTGGCCCTGACAGCTATTTCCCCTCTTCTATCATCACAAGTCGAAAGGGACTGACAGTCGAGGTGCGCAATACGGACGCTGAGGGCCGCCTTATTCTTGCTGACACTCTCACATTTGTGCAGCGGGACGCAAAGTTGGCGAAGAAATTGAAAACTGTTATTGACATCGCCACCCTTACTGGGGCCATTTTAATTGGTCTGGGAAGTCGACGTGCGGGGATGTTTAGTAACGATCTCCACTTATCACAACACCTTATGGCAAGTGGGCGCAGCAGTGGCGATGAGTTGTGGCCGATGCCGATTGGCGAGGAGCACAAGAATGCGATGAAGGGCGGGATCGCAGACCTGAGGAATGTCTCCTCTGATAAGGAGGCGGGTTCTTGCACGGCCGCTGCCTTCTTGAGTAATTTTATTGAGGATGGAATGAAGTGGGCCCATCTTGACATTGCAGGACCGGGAATGGGCGGGGACAAACCAAAGGGGTTTCAGCCCGCCGGGGCGCCTGGATTTGGCGTACAGATGCTGCTGGATTACTTTCGCCTGACGCCGGTGGACGGCGCTGTCAGTGACGCCGTTGACGTCACCAGCACCGAGGGAACGGTGGCCACCTCCGACGAGGACAGCACCGCTCCTGCCACGGCGAGTGGTGCGGAGAATCCGCCGAAAAGGAAAGGGATCAAAAAGGCGCAAAATGCAAAAAAGGACCTGAAGGTGAATCAGAAGAAGCGGCATGCAAGGAGGAGGAAGCAGTAACAACAGTGCAAATGGGGAGGCCCACAATCACCAACAACAAAAAGAGTATGTGTTGGGTGAAGAGTACATCCGTGCACGGTGGTGTGTGGGGTGCATGAATGATGATGCTCTCTCTATTGGGCACCGGAGCTGGGCAGACGGAGAGATGTTGATTGCATGTGCGTGGGGAGAAGACATGTAATGATCCGATCGGTGGGCCGATTGAACAACGCACGTTGAAATCCGCACTCTGGAAGGAGTGGGAAATCCATGTGACCGAAATTAACATGATGAGCGGAGAGAGGGAGAGAGAGAGAAGAATACATACAGTTGGCTGTGCCATTTGAAACTGGAAGAAAATTTATAAGGGAGAAAACAAAAAAACAAACAAAGAAAAGGTAAAAGGCCGTAATATCACAGACATTTGGGCATTCTGCCGCGCATAGACGTGCGTAATAATACAACTTCATCACCAGCTGGCTATGCATGTTTAAAGTGCATAATCGCGTGCACAGGGAAATATGGAGGCACAACAGATTTTTCTCTAGTCTTTTTTGTTGTTGTTATTTATTTATTTTTTTTGTGGATGCTTCATGCCTACACGACACATCCCTACATGTATATACATATCTACATGTAGGGATATTTCTGATTTTTTTTTTCTTTTGTTAACGGAAAGATGTACGTTTGTACAAACGGTGTATGTGCGTTCACTTATCTTGTAAAGGCCTTTTATTATTATTTATTTATCCCTGACTTCTCCCCTTTTACTCAATGCGTTCGTGTGTGTGTGTGTGTGTGTGTGTGTCTGCGCATTGCTGGGAGTGGGAGGGTGAGCATCGGGTGGAAGTCCAAAACAACACAACAAAACGAGGGAAGAAGTGAATTTTAAAATATCTTTTTGTTCTTTTGTTTGTTTGTTGTTTACTTCCAAGAGGGGTGGAGAGAGAGAGAGAGAGGAAGAGACATCTTCTGCTCCGCACGGATGACATTATACCACATCATTGGTGCATAACTTCTGTTTCTGCCACTCAGTGATGCCGTCATCCCGCTGCTGATTCTTCTCTGGGTGCAAATTTCTCTTTTTTTTCTTCTCCTTCTTTTCTCTTTTTTACTTGCGGTCGGCATTGGCTGACAGTGCATGTGCGATGGCGTATGAATCCCCTGCGCGGGTGAAGTGGGCCACGGCGATCTTTTGGAATGTGCTCGATCCCGCATTCCGCATGCACTTCAAATATTACCGCAGGAAGGTCGCTGTTGACCGCTACCTAGAGCGCAAAGGCGTCGTCTTTAACGTTGCCGTTGGCGTGACGTTTGGCCTCACGTTGTACTTCACACTTGTCTCAAAGTTTCTCCTGCCTGCCCCGGTGGCATCGGAGTACTCGATGGAGGATAATGCGAAGGAGATTTTGCGCGCCATGAAGTGCGACACCACGAAGGAGCTGCCGGCCTTTCTGTTAATGCGGGCGAAGCGTGAGATCATTGGAAAGCTGCACGTTGCGGCTGACAGGGCAGAAGTAAAGCACCAGCGCGAGGAGGTTGAGAGGCTTCTTAAGACGTTGAACCAACAACAGGACAGCCCTCCACCCCAATGAGGAAAAGGACATGTCTTTTCCCTTCTGCTTCTCTTTATTATTTTATCTGTTTGGTGTTGTGGCAACGCGTTTTGTTTCATCAGATGTGTGAAGGGACAGATATTTCTGATGCGCTCTTGAGTGACTCTCAGTTGTTCTTTTTTTGGTGTGCAGTGATTTATTGAAGACTGAGAAGAAAGTATTGATGCATTGGGTTCCGGGAGACTTTTTTGTCGGTTGTCGAGCCCCACTCACTGCGGGCGATGGATCGGCGTGAGACATTGCCGTGTTCACTGGCGAGGCTGCAATGGCATCAATGTAAGTATATTTGGGGACAGAAGTGACACGCTGTTTTTGGCAAGCACCTGAAGAAACATCATGTCTCGTGCTCTCTGGGGATGGACCAGGTGCATGTCAATATGCCTCCAGCCAATGATCCATTTGGCATATTCTGTGAATTGTGTTCCGTGAGAGTGTTTTTTTCTCCTCTTCGTTTTTATCTTATTATTATTATTTGAACTTTCTGCTTCCTGGAGGATGTTCCATGCATTTCCCTGTGATTTTTTTTTTTTTCAGTTTTATCTCTCCTTACTTGTTTTATCTCCTTTTATACCAATAGCAGTGCTCATAGTGTGAGGTGCATTTCTACAGGGGAGGGGTGGGGAGTGGGGCGGCTGACGCCACGAAGAGGGGAACGCGCTTTGACATTTCGGCCGTGTATCCTCTTTCCTTCCCAGTCCCCAGCAATGCTGACACCGTCGTGGGGCCCGGTGGCGTCTGATACACCTTGTTTTGGTTTTGTGCCGCATGCATTGGCAGGTGACATTCTCATCACCTCCCGGCGGCTGCAGGTGCTTTCATATGTGCTGGCAGAGCTCAGCAGCTCTGCGATGCTTTTGGATGACTACGTGAGGGGCATTCTTAATATCCCACATCGGCTACTCGTCGCGTGGCAAAGCATCGCCGTCGCGGCGAGAGCCCGACAGGCTACACAGAGAAGTGGGGAGAGTGGAGCGCTACGAGAAACTCCGAAATTCGGTGGCCGAAGAGAACCACTGGCGCCACGCACACCGGTAGGAAGACGCGACCACAACAATGCCTCCATTGGTGGTGCGTCCCCGCAGCTGTCGCAACAAAACACCAATAACAATCGGGAAGTGGACGATAATCGGACCGCAAAACTCCATGCATGCCGACTCATGGAAGACAATGCGGCGCGCCACGTGGAATTTATCCGACGCACAGTCGTCATGGCGCTGTTTCAGCAGTATTTGCAGGTTGTCGTGGAGAAGAGCGTGGATGATCTCCTGTTGCGGGGTTGGCTTGGTTCCGGTTTTGAAACAAACACAAGAGGCTCCAGAAGAGGAGATGTGGCCAGGCATGAGGGGGCTGAAAGTTCCTTTTTGGATTTGAAGGATGACGAGGGGGGTGAGGTGGGGGGTAATGAAGAAGTGGGGAATCCAGCAAACGGCAATAAACGCCCACGCGACGTTAGTGTTTTCCCATTGAGGCAGTTACTGCCATTGAATGTGTCTTCTGACCATGATGACCATGACGATGATGATAAGTACGTGAGGAGTCCGGTTAGTCTGCAGGCTTTTATGCGAGCAGCTATTGCTTTTAATCCCACTGTCTGTGCTCTGAGGCTGATGTCCCGCTGCATTCTGTACGCCAGACACGTTCGTAATGTAGACGACGAGGCAGCAGCGTCTGCTGGAACGACGGAAGGTGAGAAGGGTGTATTTTATGTTGTTGTTGCGAGCCGGGCAGTAGGGACGTGTGAACACTCTGAGCCTTGCTTCGGTAACCGAAAATTTTTTTTTGTAAGATGTCAAGAGTCTGAGGTGCGGTGCAAAAGAGATGGCTCGCCATCCACGCAATGGGCAGAGGCTGCCGCGATGTCTCCGACATGGAGAGGGCCGAATTCACGGCAGGATGCCAATCGTCACAAAAGTTCTGCCGTACCGCGCGGCCGTGAGGCATGGCATTGGATGATGTGCCTGATGACGCAGACCATGACGGGACAGCAGTCGGGTCAGGGGAATACGCTGGTTCGAGATTGTGGCGGGAACCAAACACGGCCTTGTGTGCCGTGGAGACGCTCCGCACAACACTCCTCTGAGCGTCGCACGCGGGAAGGGATGTCACAATTGGGACTTCCGTATGTGGTGACTCTGGCCGCACGTGGCGGTGGTGGTGGTGCTGCTACCATGAAAAGCGGGACGAGACCCAAAGGCGGCAGGGTCTTTGTGCCATCCTTTCAGCTGCATCGAAAGGCAGGGAAAAGGGGTGCACGTGATTATTTTCCTAATCGTCATTATCATTATGCTGAGGATGAATATGAAGAGGATTCAATTGAATCGTGGCTGGTGATGCATTCGAATCGTTGCAGTGCCACAGGGACATTCTTCGGTCCCGCGACCGCTCGCCCTGGGCGGCTGATAACAGATGCTGGGAAACCGTTGGGAGGGTTGTCGTTTGGCTCCTCCGTTGCGTGCAGCGCCAACAACTTTGTTGTGCCCTTTGATCAGGCCATTTCTGCCCCGCCAAACGCTGGCCATGACACCAATTACCGGGAACAGCAGTCGACGGAGCAGTTTTCGGCCACCACAGAAGTGGTGTCGGCGGGCCAATTAGCTTTTGCAGAGGAACTGCTTGCCAGACTCAACTTTTGGTGTGCTCGTGGGCAGCCACGACGCTGCTACTACGATCCTGCCTTGAGTGACGGGTGCCAAACGGCGACGGTCAACCCGACAACAGAAATGAGAATGGATAGGGGTCATGGCATTGCAGGTTCAAACCATACCGATGTGGATTGCAAAGGGGAGATGCCGTTAAGGCTTCTTTTTACGCAGGTGGGAGTAATTCGGTTTCGTCCCGTGGAGGCTTCTGTGTATCGGAGTGGAAGGGGGCAGGAACTTCTTCTTCAGGCGCTTGCCGATTCTACAGAAGTGGTCATATGCTCCGTCCTTGAGAGCCGTTCACATTATGGCTGGCAAAACCATTCCTCCGGAGGAACGGAAGGAAGGGTTGACGGGTGTTATGCATTTGACACCTATGCAGTGTCTGATGATGGCAACGATCCTTTTTTATGGGGACGCTATGACGACATCGCGATGGAGGCGTCCGTAAGCTGGGCGCAAGGTGAGGTGACCACGGATGGTGCGGACGATGTATGCGACACGGATGGCAATGGCGTCTCCACTGCGGGAAATTCGTCAAATTCCCACGTGGCGACGCGCCGGTCTCTTTCCATGCGTGAGAAACATCAACGTAAGAACGAGCGACTGAAAATTGAATTCCATTTGGCCCATTCCCAACGCTTGGATGCCCTCCTGGTACACCAGCAGGCTGCAAAACCAGTCGCTGCGTTAATACTGCGTCAGTTGCCGCGAAAACTCCATCACACCACGGGGAATGGGAGGCAACTTGTGCAAGAGACAACTTTTGTTGTTCAATCTTTCAGCCACTACGTTGTACACCTGCTGCGGCAAATACGGGAGGAAAACGTGCTGATGGTGGACATGGACCGTACGCTGGTGGATAACGCCATCCTTGCCGGTGAGGATTCTACACCCATGGCATGCCAAAAGGTGAGCGGGGCAAAGGGAGGAAGTCAACTTCACTTTGAGGTCCGGAAGGAGGTGCGATATCTTGTCACGGACACACCTTTCCAGGGAATGCGCACGGAGACGATTTACGTGCGTCATGGGGTGAGACGGTTGTTACGGTACTTTGCTATTGAGTGGGGCATTCCTGTTGTACTCGTGACGAAATCATCGCGTCGCCGCACGGAGGCCATCTTGTCGCAGGCACTGGACCCGGAGGAGGAGCTGTTTCCACCCGGGTGCGGACGCGTATTTACGGCGGAGTTGTTACTCGATAAATTGTCGGATGACTTGCCTTCGGATGGTCCTTTTTCTTCTTCAGCGTTGCCACCACATGTTGCCAGTGAGAAGGACCATGCCAGATGGCGCTCTCACGAAAGTCTTGTGAACTCGCGGAAGTGCACCACAGCGGTTCTGCAGGAGTTAGATCGTGCACACAGGAAGAGACATGGCACGCGTCATTTCTCACCCAAAGCGAGGAGTGTGGCGGTGCTGGATGACGCACCACAGGTATGGGTAGAGGCAGACTGGCCTTGCACCGTATCGGTTGTCCCATACACGTTGGGCCGCGTGGATCCGCGGGAGTACTTTACACCGAATGGATTGATTCCATCCATGTTATTGTCCGTGCTCTACAGAGGCAAATGTGTGCGGTATCCCACACCACACCGTGAGGGAAATGAGAGCACATATGGCATAGGGGCGGTAAAGAAGGGAATTGGCAGAAATGACACGATTGGAATGGACTTTACCATTCCAGCACTTGAGAGATGTGTTTTTTTTTGTGACTGCGATCCTAATAATGATGTCAACCAGAATAATCTACTGGAGATGCCCCGCGTTAAAGATCCCTGCTTACCAGAAGATCATCTCTTATCTGCAGCCTCATCTGGCTACAATGCTTCTGCAGAGGATGAGGTGGCGTCCGGGGAGGAGACGGTGGTGGAGGAGGTCAATGAACGGCGTGAAGGCAGCAGTCCTTGGGCCACCGCCGACGTGGAGGATGTGACACCTCTTTAGGAGCAGACGCACACACACATATATATATATATATATATACACGTGGGGGGAAGAAGGAATGTTTAAATTGAATGCGTTTATTTTTTGTTTCCTGTGCTTTTTACATTGCGGTAAAATGTTTTCTTGTTTTTTTTTTTTTTAATGACACCCATAAATTTTATTTTATTTTATTTTTCTCTTATCTTTCTCTTTGTTGTGCCTTAAAAAACAAAAAAAAAACAAACTTTATGCTGCATTTTTGAATGAATATGCATGATAACGTAGGGAGGCTGCGTAAAGACCGGGGGGCCCGCACGCACGCACGCACTGCACTGTACAACTGTGGGAGGAAGAAGGAAGGGAAGGGGAGAAGTGAGCGGGGGTGACTGTTGTAGGGGGGCGATGAAAAACCAATACGAACTGCCAGAGCAGGTGCGGTGGTACCAAACGCTGTGGGAAATGCGGAATCATGAGTTTCGCACCACATTTCTGACGACTAAACGCCGCCATTGGCGTATGTTTTGGAAGTATGAAAGTCATTTGGTCTACGAACGTGTCATTATGGGATTCATCGTGGCTTCATGTATGTTTTTTATGTCCAATTTGGATTTGACCGCAGCTGTGTTCCGTCTACCAACAGAAGATGTGAATGAGTTGCTTAAGCAAGACGTCTGGAGGAAGTATCGAAGTGAAATCAATGAGAGGAAGGAGCATGCAAGCAAGATGCTGGAGGAATCTAGTTACATTCATAACAAAAACAAACCCTACTCGACGTAAAGAGTATGTGTATGTATGCTGCGGCGTCTCCATTGCGGGGTTGTGATGATAACAGGGATGACGGTTGGGAGTAGCAGTGGGTTTCTGTTTACCCACAACAGTGGTATTGTGTTGTAGATTCTTTTTTGTGCCTGAGTTCCTGTGTGTGTGTGTGTGTGTGTGTGTGTGTGTGTGTGTGTGTGTGTGTGTGTGTGTATTTTGCATCTTTTTTCCCCAACATTGGCCGCTTTTGTATCGTACCGGCTGTCATGAAGAAGAAGGAACATATTTCTGGCCTCTCTTTTTTTCTTGTTTTTTTTTCTTGTTTTTGACTTTTGTCTTCCCTCTATCACTCCCTTGTGGTTGTGTCCTACACGCGGTGACGTGTTTCTGCAGCACAAACACGCACGCACACATAGTTACGCACTCCGACACGCACAGTCGCACGCACGTGAACGCAAGGGCTCTCACTCTTTCTGACGCCTCCGTGTACACAAAAGGATAAAGTCATGAGCATTTCCCGGTTCCGTCACACACAATCTGTCCCGGCACGGCATGACAGACACTTCATAAACGTCAACCCCTCAGGTGCGATATGGGACTGCAGTAACATGATTGCCTGCAATGACCGCTTTCTTGCGGTGCCGTGGGCGCAACTTGGCAGTACGGCAGTGCTACTTCATACCGACTATGGCAAGGTTGCATCCAGCCCGCCGATATTATTGGGTCAAGAGGGCCCGGTCATTGATGTTGCCTTCAATCCGTTTGATCCTACAAAACTTTTTACAGCAAGTGAGGACGGTACCATCATGGGGTGGGATATTCCAGAAGAGGGTCTCACACAGAGCACCAGTGACCACATTGTACATCTGCAGGGACATACCAAGAAGGTGGGTATTGTGAACTTCCACCCTAGTGCAATGAATGTACTGGCCTCCGCTGGGGCTGACATGGTGGTCAATGTGTGGGATGTCAACACTGGCAAGGCGGGTGAAGTGCTCAAGTGTCACACGGACCAAATCATGTCGCTGGAATGGAACCTTGATGGTTCACTGCTCTGCTCCACCTCAAAGGACAAAAAGGTGAATATTATGGATCCTAGGATAGGAGATATTGTTGCCTCCGGCAGCGCTCACCAAGGCGGCAAGACCCAGCGTTGTTTGTGGGCAAAACGGCAAAATCTCATCGTGACCGTTGGATTTAGTAAGGCACAAAGCCGCCAGGTCATGCTGTGGGATGCCCGGGACATGGCATCACCGGTGCATACGGAAGATATTGACCAGTTCAGTTCTCTCATTTTGCCCTTTTTTGATGAGGACACAAATATTTTGTACATTGGAGGCAGAGGAGATGGAATTATTCGTTTTTTTGAATTGGCGGATGGACGACTTGTGCCGTGCTCCTCCTACGACTCTGTGGAGGCGCATAAAGGGCTCTGCATGTTCCCTAAATGGTCCTTGGACACACGACAGTGTGAGATTGCGCGTTTTTACGCACTCACGCCTCGGTCCATTTACCCCATCCAAATGCTTCTCCCACGTAGACTGGCGGATAGCGAATTGCAGGTCGATGTGTACCCTCCCACCTTTGCAGACGTGCCCGCCATAACGGCAGAGGCATACTTCAGCGGGGGAAACAGCGAACCACTTGTGACGGATATGCATGCCGTGTTTAATGGAACGGAGCGTGAGGTAAAGAGAGCGGTTGCTCTAACGCCATCAGGTAAAAAACGCCATCAGGGGGTCACTTCAGCAATGACACATTCCTTTGATACCAACTCATCTAAGTACACGGACCCCATGACGATGGGGGTGGAATACACGGAAAAGAGAAGGGATGAGGGGATTTTAGACGAGCGTTTGGGAAAATTAGCCGCTCTTTCGTTGGAGTTGCAGAAGCAGGAGGAGGATCTGAAACGATGCCAAGAGGAGGTTGAAAAGAAAACACGAATTGTTATGGAGACTGTTGAAAAAATACGTGACATTGCCCTTGGACATGCCTTGTAGCGGTGCATCGTTATGCGTATGCATAAGTTTCCCGCTTATAAATGAGGGTTATGAGAGCACACGTATGAAGCGTACACATGTCTCCTTTCCTTCTCTCCCCCACTCCTTTTTTTCTTTTTTCTTTTTTCCCTCTTCTGCTGTTACCGTCAGCTCAACATCAAACTTCTTTCTAGAAGATCTTTTGTATTGTCTCTGTGCTGTTTTTTTTTAGATGTTTAATTTCTTTTCCTTTTCACCGCGTGATTTTTTTTTTTTTTTTGTTGTTGTTATCGTCTTCCGGCTCTGTGTGTGTGTGTGTGTGTGTGTGTGTGTTTTACTGCAAGATGACACCACCACTACCGTCCATTGCTTGCAGTGTGGGAGGAAACATGCACACAAAAATATATTGGCGATGTGGGGAGTTGACCGAAAAAAAGAGACGATGCGAACAGACGGGGAGGGGAGGAGGAGGGGAACGCACACACACACACACACTAAAAGAAAAAAAAAAAAAGGAAGAAGAAAAGTGAAGGCCGGGAACGAAAAACCAAAAAAAAAAAGGGAGAAAAAAATTCTACTGTGCATGCTGGTTGACTTGTTTGTGCGTTGTGGGCGCCTGGGCCCTCTTTTTTTCTTTTGTTTTCTTTTTTTTTTTTTTTTTTGCTGGGGGCCTCCTTCCGACGCTTCTTTTCTTTTCCTTCTTTTTTTTTTTTTTTGTAATTCTCCTCCATTTGTGTGCGACGTTTCCATTTTCTTCCCTACGCGTGGAGAGGGGAGTGGAACGCACACGAACACACACGCGCACACTCAGGTGCGGCCCGATAGATTTCATCACACGAGGTTGCGGTTGTCATTTATGTACCAGCTGCTCTCACCCAGGACGGCACGCCACGCCCGTCTCTTTCGTCTTGCGAATAGCCTTGCGTCATCTCCTTCCGGCACCGCCGGCGTTCCAAAGACGGACGGTGAACGTTTGCTGTGGGTGAACT